GGATTCTATTTATCATCATCAGTCATTTGGGACAACATTGGATCATTCAGAGATCCTCACTGAACTTCTGGAGTGAGTTTGCTGCACTGAAAGTAAAGGGGCCGAATAATATTGCACGCCCCACTTTAACAAAAATTTGGAATTTTTTATCTTCATGTTTGAAGCCTGAAATGTGGCAAGAGGTTGAAAAGTTCAAGGGGGCCAAATACTTTTGCAAGGCACTGTATCCAAAATGCAATGTTCTTTTGATAAGAGTTTAAAAGTTGTTCAAAGAATGGAAGTTATTTAAATTTTATATGGTAAAAGAGAGTTAGTCATTTTCTTCTGCTTATTCCATAGTGAGTCACAGGGAAGCTGGTGTCTCTCACCAGCAGTCTATGGTCAAGGTACACCCTGGATAGGTCGCCAGTGCATCACATGAACAACCATGTACATGCCTAAGGGCAATTTAGAGAGACCTATTAACCTAAGAGGTATGTCTTTAGACTGTGGGAAGAAGCCAAAGTACATGGTGAGAACCCATGCATGCAAAGGGAGAACATGCAAACTTCATGCAGAAAGACCCTGGCCAGGAGTCGAACCCAGGACCTGCTTGCTGCAAGGCAACAGTGCTACCAACTGCCCCACCATGCGAAGCAAATTTCAATGGAGTTGAAAATCTGAACTTTTCTGTCAATTCGCATTGCGAATCAGTCAGTGCAGTCCCTGCAAAGAAAGAAGGGAAAACAATACCTACAATCTGCAAACATCACAAATATAAAAAAGACAGAAACATTCATGAACACATAGGATGAAGGAAGGTTTGCTCTGAGAGGTTTGTGGGTGGCTTTGAAAAAAGCCGTTGAAATTTAGTCCTGAAAATGACTGGTTAATAAGGCACGCATGAAATTGTGAAGCACACATGTGGCCTTCGCACACAACTTTCTGTTGAGCTGAGATTTTTTACTCACCGAAGACATATGGGCAGGCGTTCTTCAGCGGGGATACAGCGCCTCTAGTTGATGTGCCTGAGGCTGATTTGTCCCCCAACGCAGAGCAGCATGTCCTCAAACTGGGTCCTGGATTGACGGAATTACCGTTGAAAGTGACGGTCATCCAGACGCTGCACCTGGAGTAAGTGGTGGTACTCTCTAAACTGGTTCCGTCTCTGGAGAATCTGGTGAACCCAGAGACGTTGACGATGGCGGCGTTGTTCGGCTTTCCATGGATAAAGGGCCGTGACTTGCTCCATAAAATCGAGGTCCACCTTGTTGAAACCGGCAAGCAGCAGATTGTAGGCTACAGTTCATTGAGGGAACCATGAATGCCAACATGTACTGTGACATACTGAAGCAGAGCATGATCCTCTTTTAGAGGAGCGATTGTGACTTAGTGGTCATATCCATATGTAGCCTAAACAACGGTGTTTAAAGTCTCACTTGGTTAGCTTATTTAAGCAACTCCAACAACTCTCCACAACCTTTATACATTGCAGACATCTTTATGAACCCATGTGTTCACAGGCGAGACATGAGTGTAAACAATAAACAAAATCAGGGTGACATGAAGGCAGGAAGGTTAAACCATGGGTAGAGAACCAGGTTGAATATTTTGTGGGGCTGCATGGTGGTGCAGTTGGTAGCACTGGTGCCTCACAGCAAGAAGGTCCTGGGTTCGACTCCCGGCTGCCAGTCTTTCTGCATGTTCTCCCTGTGCATGTGTGGATTCTCACCAGGTGCTCCAGCTTCCTCCCACAGTCAAAAAGACATCTCTAAATTGTCCTTAGGTGTGTGTGGTGTGTTGCCCTGTGATGGACTGGTGACCTGTCCAGGGTGTACCCCACTTCCCACCCATAGACTGCTGGAGATAGGCACCAGCTTCCCTGTGACCCACTATGGAAGAAGTGGTATAGAAAATGACAATGAATATTTTGCTATAAATTTTCATTATTCATATTTTTTATTCAAGTCTTTGACATGGCTTTTCATAGGGTGAGTGGTGCATTACAAAAGGAAGGGATCCAATCCCTTCTCTTGACCTAGTTCCAAGAATAAAGGGCCTGATCTACAAAATGTTTGTGTGTATAAAAACACGGGCAAACTTCATTTCACAACACTGTTGTACGGATCACACTGAAGGAGTGCTTCTATATAGCCCAAAAAAGGTGGTGTAGATTAAAGTTGTCTGCTGCATGTTCCACAACATATTAACAATGCCAGGAATGTGTCATTGTTATGTTATTTTACAGCTCTGATGCAGGAAACAATCACAGATGTTCAACAGTTAAAATGATTTATTAAGAAACACAAGTGGAGGACTTCAGGATTTCTGGACCGAATCAGGAAGAACACTGAAGGGAGAAGGTGAGTTTTAATTAGAGGTAAGTTACTGATGAATGTGGAAAATGATGAAGAATAGGAGGTGTTGCTTACTGTTTATGGAAGACGGTGGAAGTCTGGAGAAGGTGAGTAACTCTCTGAGTCTGAGGTTGACAGGTTTGGGGTGTCTGAGCAGCCTGTGCTGGCTGAGCATCTGTTTTGTCTTCCTCCAGCGTGAGACTGATGGTAGCACCACAGCAGGCTGATGGGAGCACCACAGCAGGCTGAAGGTGGACAGGCAGGTGAGGGATGGGTTGCTGAGCCACAGTGTAGCTAGACGGTATGAGAGTTGAGGAGCACTAGCTGCTGAGGTAGGAACCTGACGCTGGCTGTTGGGACAGGACCCTAGAAATAAGGAGGTAAAGACCCTGATGACCCTGATGAGCTACAGCTGTGGGGCCTGCCAGTCGCACCCTGCTGGAGAACAGTGAGAAGACAACAGGGAAGCACCACCCAAACCTGTGTACAGCTCAGAGTGTAACTGAATGTGGGGGAAAAAAAATGTCTGCACAAACAGATTAATGCAGCGGGACTGCAGACAGACACCAATCTGATTCCAAGCCATTTCTCATGAGCCATTTCAGATACGCTTTTTATTTAAATTCTTTATGCAATAAACCAAAGAAAAAACACCATGACTGAACTTAATTTTGTGGCATGTTTTAAAGCAAATGCAACTGAACATTACAGCCTCCAGCGAACATGAAACTATTATGGAGCCTGTAAAGGGAAGAACCCTGAAGGAAAAAAAATATTAAAAACCTGAAAGAATCTAGTGGCACCTGAAAGTTTTTTTATTAATATTTTTTCCTTTCATGTCTCTTTCAGTGTCCCTTCTAGGATTCCAGAAACACCGATCTGTCTGCCTCTCTCCCTCATGTGGGTCAGAGGAGTGTGGGGCTGCATTCATTTGGCCCTGGTCTCCACATTGCATGACGGCAAAGTGGAGTAGGAGGAAGAGGGATGGGCAACGTGGGGTCTTGTGCACGCCAAGGGCCGGTGCAGGGCCTTCATCATTTGAATAGAGCTGTGTGCACCACTTTTGAACCTGTTATCAATTAAACAATCAATTAAAGGTTATTAGATCACCAGCAACACACCCACTAATAGCATGTGCTATTATTTTTTTGCACGAGCAATTTAGTAATGCTTATTTGGGGTCTTAGTAGATCAGGCCCTAAATGCGTTAAAAATAGAGGAGAATGTCGCAAAAGCCAATCTGCCTTCAACAAAAATCTGGCAAAAAAATCACAGTTTCACAGAGCCTTTATTATGTTGATCATCTTATAAGTGATTCTATTATTATTTAATTAGTGTTTAGGAAAGCAAAGGACACTGAAATTCTGGATGTTTACCTAAATCTTAAACAGTAAGAGAGCAATAAAAATAACTGAGTGTTTCCCAGTTATTAGTAGAATGGTGTCTTTTCCTCTCATTCAGTTTTTTCTAAGATAGGAGATAATAATGGAAAGCACTGCAGCTCATATCCTTAAGATTTTGGATAATGAACCCAACTCTCATTACGGCTGCTATTAAGATACTTACGGTTCATTTCACTCTGCTTGTAGCCTTTCTAAACAAGAGAGACCAAACCCCAGATATTACCCAATAAAAAAAGTTTTCCCACAAAAGAAACAGGAAAATAAATAAAATACAAGAAGAAACATAGAAGCCATTAAACGACCATTACTATGCTTCCCTACAGTCTACATACGATGGGTACACTAAACCATGTTTAACACCTCAGTAAAGTTACAGTGCAGGAAAGAAACCCTGAGTTCATGTTTTTTTTTTTAATCAATGCAATAAAAATGCCTGGGTGAGCCCTCTGTAGTCAGTTTGAATGTGTCAATAAGCTGATGGTATTGTATGACCAGCATCCTGAGAAATATTGCAAGTGAATACACTTTGATTGTAAATAGTTCCATACTGTAGATATGTTGGCATGCTCCATCCCAAATATTTATAGCATTGATAAAAAGGTTGTTGCTTAAAATGAAGTTGTGGTCTTACAGGTTGAGGAGGACCTGGATTCTATGACTTACTAATATCAATGAAATATATAATGTGCTTGCTGAAAAATGTGTTTTATCTTGTTTTCTGAAAACGTTCAATAATGACTTCGGCAATTATGCTATGAGATTAACGACTACATTTCAGCATGCCTGAGTATGGATTTTTGCTCATAGTACTGGTTCTTTTGGCAGTAATTACTCACTGACACTGAAAAGCATCAGGCCCACATATTTACTTTCAGAAGACCTTTGTACACATCTTTCAGTGAGTCTTCAAAAGATCAATAATAATGAGAAGAAGCTGTATTTACTGCTGCTCAGTACACACAGAATATATATTCATCAATGGTTAATAATACCTCCCTGCATTGAGTGTGATGAGAGTGAACCAGCAACACTGAGCTATTCCTCTGTTTCATCTAAGCACTCTAACTAAGCATGTGGCCATGCTTCATGGTATGTGATAATATACAGGTGTAAGATGGGGTAGACAAGGGCCAAAGCTTGTTTGCTCAGAAGATGGAGAAATCTGTAATTATCCTCTGCCAGCCATTCCTCACATTCTGCCCGGAACCTCTCTTTAATTGGCCTGTGTATTCGTTCAAACACCGATGCTTAGGGTAAACCTGATGAAAGGGCCAGCAATATCGATCAGGCTTTAATGAGGTAACATAAAATCTTCTCTACATTAAAGAAATCTTGAAAAACAATTTCCATTTAAGATGTGGTTACATGGGTGGTTTTCATGGAGTACTGGTTATGTCTTTTTGGATTTCCAACTACAAGAAGCTCTGCTGTTTATCATTAGGCAATATCATTGCAGGCAGGATTACAAATAATGTAACTGACTGCAATGTGTGGCAATGTGTTTTTTTCTCTTCATAGAAGCTACTGCTGGCCTGGTGTCCTTTTCAGCAATGAAATCTTCCTGGACAGGGTCATCGGCTGAGCTAATGCTGCCAACAACTTCATGTTCTCCATCTACAGATGATACACTTGGTCATGTTTAACTTGGTCAGTGTTTAACTCTGTCTCTCTCCAAGACATAGGTATTGGCTGAGTTTTTACTGCAACCGTATGTGCTATGTCTATCATCTGATAGACTTGTAAACTGACTTAGTGTTGATCTGATCAGTGGTTCTGTGTGGTTTTTGTGTGCGTGAGTATGCTCTGTTCTCTCAAACCCCGAGCTGGCCGTGATAGATGGTTGCTCACACAGAGCCTGCTTCTGCTAGAGGTTTCTTCCAATTAAAGTGAAGTTTACCTTTCCACTGTCACTATATGCATGCTCGGTATGAGATATTGCTGAAAAGTCAACGATACAATGCGAGTGACTGTCCACTGTCGCTACATGCTCAAACAGGAGTGAGTGCTGCAAGTCACTGCCTCGATGCAATCTACTGGGTTTCCTTAGATAGAAAATGTTTTCACTAATTTGAATAAGAAACTGAATTTGACTATAGTGTTTATAAACTAGGACCAATTTGAATGTATGTCATTGACTTCTGTCGATAAGATTGGATTGATTTTATTTATTTTTTTAAGAATTTTTTCGGCACTAGAGGCCTTTATTTTTAACAGTAGGCAGGAAGGAAGGGTAAAGAGAAGGGGAGACATTCGACAAAGGTCGCCGGGTCCGGGACTCAAACCCGGGACCGCTGCTTCGAGGACTATACCCTCTATATGTGGTTGCGCGCTAACCCCGACACCACTAGCGCCGCACCCCAGTTTATGTTTTTTGTTGCACCATGAGATGATATATGTTGAGAACTGACGGTCTATTAATAAACTGAACTGAATTGATTGGGCTTTGTACAGTCCCATCAAAAGCATTCACTCCCCATAAACATTTTTACACACATGGTCACATCTGAACCACAAACTTGAATATATTTTATTAAGATATTATGGGATAGATAAGTAGAAAATGATTTATGATTTTTAAAACTTTTTACTAAAACAAATATGACAATGATGTGCATTTGAATTTAGTCTATTTTACTCTGATACTCCTACAAAAAAAATCGTGTGCAACCAACGGCCTTCAGAAGTCACCTAATGGGTTCAAAGGGCCCAACTATTTCATTTCATTTTAGTATGATTGCAGCTGTCCTGTAAAGCCTCAGAGGTTTGTTAGAGAACATCAGATAACAAACAGCAACAAGATCAAGGAACACAGCAGACAGGTCAGGGAGAAAGTTGGGGAGAAGGTTAAAGCAGGGTGAGGTATGACACAGCTGCAAACCTGCCAAAAACATTGCCACCTAAAGTAGTGGGGCAAGTAGAGCATTAATCAGAGT